GGGGGTTATAGTGCATGAAGGCTGTGGCTCTACTTTTAGCACCCCGAAAAAATTTTTGAAGTGTTTGAAAACCCTCTACATGTCTAGCGCATGCTAACTACATCATCTTTCATGCTAAAATAGACATTGATTTAAATGATACAATGAGCTTGAAAAAAGAAGTATGCACATGGTACAAAGGCTTAAACAGAGGCGGACCTACATTGGGGAGTGGGGGGTCACAGAAACCCGTTAGCCTCGACAAAAATCTAATATATATATATATATATTCCTTAAGATATTTACTTGGCCCCCTCAATAACCAAAAGTTGGACGGAAGCAATGGCTGAGTTGATTATTTAAGTATCTTTCTTCACTAGTTGGGCTTGGGTTCGAGACATAGCTCCAACAACAATTAGTGTTTTTTTTCTTTTTTTTTAATTCAATGATAGTTTCTATCCTAGCCGACTTCTGTATTTTCGCAAAATAATAGAAAATTGACGTATTACATCAACCTATCCAGCTTCGAACCTTGTGCCTCTTTTGTAAATCTGAAGCGCTTTACCACTAACCCAGTAAACCAATTTTGTTTATTAGTGTCATTATAAGCCTTTTATAATAGTTTCATATTACTTACTTATATATCTAATATAAAATTTCTTCAAAATGGTGTTGGGTGACACCGTTTTTTTTTTTTTTTTTGATAAATTTCTTGTTGTTTATACTTTGCTGATAAATTATCATAATCATTAAGATTTTAAAGAGTTGTACGTGGAATTTTGTTGCTAGTTATTGATATATTTGAAGACAATGTTGCCCTCGTTGCATTCAAATCCTAGGTCTGTCTCTAGGCTTAAACCGTCATCTTTGTAAAGAAGATTTATTTTGGAAAATGAAATGAGATTTTACTACATCTCTAATTGGATCGTGTTGCTTTGGGGCAGCATATAAGCAGTTGCATAAATGAGTATGTATTTTTATTAGTAAGGGAAGTGTAGTCAATAGTTGTCTTAAAAAGATAAGGGTTCAATCCTTCACGGAGTCTTGCTCATTAGACTAAGGAATGATCCTGATCCTACAACCAGCAGACCCTTCAGATTTGAAACAATGGGTGTAGTCATCCATCCTTCCCTAGCCTTATTTTGGACTCCTTTCCCCCTAATTCCACTCTTATCCAATCAACTCGGCATTTTAAGGATAGTGCTACCCAATGGAATAGGAATACCTTTGATAAGATATTCCACAAGAAAAAAAGGCTCATAGCCTGAATAGTTGGCATCCAAAAGTTCCCAAATTACCAATATAGTCATTTCCTCCTAAACCTAGAGAGCAATTTGATTGAGGAACTTGACTTCATCCTTAAAATTGAAGAAGACTTATGGAAGATGAAATCTAGAATCAATTGGCTCACTTATGGGGATGCCAATACTAAATTCTTCCATACTTCTACTCTCAACAGGAGAAGAAGAAATAGAATCCTATCTCTGAAGGATGATACTGGTAATTGGCAACATGACCAACAGGACATCAAAGACTCCATCCTTAAGTATTTCCGCTCCCTCTACACCTCTTCACACACACAATCACCTATACACACCACATGCACAACTGGCCAAAACCACATACTATCCAACACTCAAAGAGGAATTTTAACTTCCCCACTTAGGGATAGTGAAATCAGGAGGGCCATTTTCTCTTTCAAGTCCTTCAAAGCACCTGGCCTGGATGGTCTACAACCTTTCTTCTACCAAAAATAATGGAACACAGTGGGAAGGACTATTATTGAATTCTGCAAGAGAAGTTTTGAAACTCACATAATTCACCCCACTATGAATGAAACACGATTATGCCTTATCTCAAAATGCCCTTAGGCTTCAATGCTCAAGAACTTTAGACCAATAGGGCTTTGCAACACAATATACAAAACTATCACCAAGATTATTGTTAGTAGGATCAGACCTTACCTTCCAGACATAATAGGTCCTAGTCAAGCTAGCTTCCTATCCAAGAGAAGAACCTCTGATAATGACATAATTGTCTAGGAATACATCAACCACTTTGATAAAATGAGAGCAAAAAATGCCAACATGATCTTAAATATTGAGCTAGAAAAGGCTTTTGATATGATTGAATGGTCTTTCATTAGAGACACACTATATTTCCTTTAACTTTCCATCTGATTTCATCAAGCTCATCCTCTTCTGTGTCAGCTCATCCTCCATATCTACCCTGGTGAATGGGGGAAAATTGATTCATTTAAGCTCACCAGGGGCATTGGAAAAGGCGACCTCATTTCTCCTACCTCTTCATAACGATAATGGAGAGACTTTCAAATGTCATTGATAATGCAGATTCTACCAAAGATTGGCTGCCAATTAGTATCAGTGGGTATGGTCCTAAGATCTCCCATCTCGTTTTTTGGTGATGACCTAACTCTCTTTGCAAGAGCTTACTCCAGAAACTGTAACACAATCATCAATACTATAAATTCCTTCAATAAACCATAAGGACAGAAAATCAATTTGACTAAGTCTAGGGTCTTCTTCTCTTCTAACTGCAAACCTGATCTGATAGAGGCACATTCTTCCAACCTTTCCATCCAAGCCGCTTCCACTTTTGGCAAATACTTGGGCTTTTCAATCTTCCACAATAAACCAACCAATAGTAATTTCTAATTCATCATTGACAATATGAAATCTAAGTTGTCTAGGTAGAAAATAAGCTACCTAAACATGACTTGTAGAACCACTTTAGCAAAAGCATCCCTAAGCAACATACCAAATCATGTCATTCAGTTCATCAAACTACCCTCCAAAATAACAAAATTGATTGATAAGACCCAAAGGAACTTCATATGGGGCACCACCCTCAACAAGAAAAATAATGCATCTTGTAGGCTGGAAAACTGTCACTAAGCCAAAGAATCAGTGAGGTCTGGGATTGAAAAGGTTGAATGCAAAAATATGGCAATCCATCCTGACCTAGCCTAGAGGATATTCTATAATCCCTCTGCCTTTTAGGAAAGAATCCTCATTTCTAAACACTGCAAATAGAATCACATTCCTAAAAAGGCAAAATCTTCAATTTGGCAGTGCATCTTCAAGGGCTGGGATATATGTAGACATGCTTCTAGGTGGGTTGTCAATAAATCGGACAGAGTCAGTTTCTTAAATGATGATTGGATCCCAAATAACAGTTTCATCCAAAACATGATTGAGGAACCACTAACCTTAAATGAGCAAACAACCAAGGTGGCCACCATTTTTAATAATGGGGAATGGAACATATCCTCCCTCTCTTTCAGTGTACTTGACAACATCATGAACCTAATAACATCTACCTTTATTTCTATTAATTCTATCAGGGACGATAAGATGATCTAGAGTCTAACTTTCAATGACATTTCCAGCACAAAATCTGCCTACACTTTCCCTAGCAAAAATAAAATAAAATCCAACATCTAGGGACAATAACACCTTCAGCTAGATCTAGAAACTTAAAGTTCCCAATAAAGTCAAAATCATTATATGGCTGTTGTACCATAACAGAATCTCTACTGGAGCTTTTCTCCAAAATATTGGAGTTAATTGCAACTCCTTGTGTTGTTTTTGCTCCTTTAATTTTGAAACAACTGCCCACATCTTTTTCGGTTGCCCCAATGCTAAACTGTTCTGGCACAACCTCACCACCTAAAGCACCAATTCTTATCTACAACAGTACCCTACCTTCACAACCCAAGTCATGGTCCACCACATGGACCAATGTAAGGAAGAAGCCATTTAATAACAACTTGACTTGGGAGGCTATCCTTCCATTCTGTTTCTGGCATTTCTAGATAACAAGGAACCATATCCTTTTCAAAAAAGGAGATACCACATTAATGATTCCAACACTATGGCAAAAGTCACATAATACCATTTTATAACAGCCAGGATAGAATGAGGAAAGAAGTTGTTATCTAAGTTAAATGGGAGCCTCCAACTAGGGGCCACTTTAAACTGAACATTGATGAGGCAGCACTAGGTAACTTAGGAAAATGAGGCATTGGAGTTGTCTTTAGGACCTCTAGTGGAGACTGGATCCTAGGTTACATAGAAACCATGTCGCATACCACCAATATCTAATTTGAGCTAACTGCCCTATTAAAGGACTACAGATTGCAGAACAAAGAGGCCTCATGCCACTAGAAATAGCTATTGATTCTACAGAGGCAATAGGAATGCTTAAAATGGGAAACCATATTATGACTATCATCTATGAATGCGGGTTGTTGATCCAAAGGATGGGAATAACAGGGGTGAAATACAGCTACAGGGAACAGAACAGGGTAGTTGATCTGCTAGCAAAGAAAGGAGCAAAAACAAATTTTTTGGGAAGAACAACTATGCTGCAGTTCCTCTGATGTTTGCAAATGAAGCATTTTGGGCAGACATCCTAGGAACTGCTTTTCCCAGAAATATTTTGGAATATAATAGTGATACTATGGAACAATCTATGACTATTATAGGGGATACAATTACCCCTCTGATGTTCCTATTTTGGCTCATAGTTGTTAATATAATCAATCCCTCGTTAACCCAAAAAAGGAATATCAAAAGCAACAGTTGATAATTTCATCATACTATAGCAACCACTTTTAATCCTTCTAATTTGAGATCTTATATTTTATCTCTAAGTGAAATAAGTTGGACAATACCAAAGATTTGCTAGAGGTGAAGGTGTAACGACCCAGCCGGTCGTTTTGAGTATTGTAGCCTTGTTCCCCTTATTTATCATCTCTTATATGTTCAAATATGGTTATATGACTTGTCGGGGTGGTTGGTTTGGTTTCAGACAAGTTTCGAAGTGAATTGGGATACTTAGTCCCAATGTTGAAAGCTTAAGTTGGAAGAATTGACCGGAGTTTGACTTTTGTACAGGCGACTCTGGAATGCAGTTTTGATGGTCCCGATTACTTCGTATGGTAATTTTGGACTCAG